CTTTCTTTAAAATAATCAGTTTTCTAAATTTTTCAAATCTTCTTCCAATTTTTTACATTTCTTTCCTTGATTTTTTTTAATGTACAGGGTTCCCTTATTGTTATTCCTGTTTAGATTGCTTTCATTGTGTCCCACAACAGGCCTAATTTTAGCACCTCCTGCTTCATTTATTGTCCATAACTCTAATTATTTCTTTATCTTTTCTATTACCTCTGGGTACTGTAAATTATTATTATCCATTCTCCACCTTTTTGAGTCTTTATAATCTTTTTTATTTCAATCTGTATTAAATCAAAGCATGATCTGTTATTTTAATGGAATTAATTTCAGTATTAGCTATCTTAGAAATTAAGTCTTGACATGTGAATACATAATCTATTCTAGCGTAAGTATTGTGTACTACTGAAAAATAAGTATATCTTCTTTCATCACCTTTCAATTCTCTCCAAATATCCTTCAATTGGTTATTTCTTATCTTCTTGCTCAGTATTGTATTTCTTTGATAAATATCATTCTGACCAATATAAGGTTTTATCTTTTATTTATCCATAACCATATTAAAATCTCCTGCCATAATAACATAACCTTTCTTTACCTTTTCCATTTCTTTAAAAACCGTATCATAAAATTCTCCCTGTTTATGATTAGGTGTATAAACATTAACCAAAGTATATTCTTCCAACCCCATTTTATCTTGTATTATTATATATCCACAATTACAATCTTTTACTACTTTTCCCCTTTAAATTCACAGTTTTTAAAAATTATAATTGCTACACCTCTAGATTTAGAAGTTCCAAAAGATTTTTTCATGTGTGTCTATATTGTTCATCTTTAATTCGTTGACTCCATTTTCTGATTGATGTGTCTCTTGCAGAAAGACAATGCCCACCTTGTTTTTCTTCAATAGTGCTTGTATTCTTTTTTTCACTGTTGATCTCAAGCCTTTCACATTTAAAGTTGCAAATTATATTCTTTTACCCATGTAAAATCAAAATCTCTCCTTCCAGTAGGTCCCGTGTGCAACCTTTCCTCCCCCAAACTAACAAAAATAAACTAAAACTTAAAATTAACATAGAAATAACCCAATAATTGACCACTGAAAAACCAGTTGTGAAGGACAGCTCTCAGAACACTTCTGTCAGTTAGGGGAAGGCTTGATCAAACCCTTATGTTCAAATATTGAAGTAATCAGTGTGACAAACCCAGACCTACTGGGATATGTCACACAGTTTCACTAAGCTGCCACCAACCATTCCCTCTAAGAAGTCACACAGACCAGGGATGGATTTTTAAACAATAAAAAGAATAAGGTTTATTTAAATACACACAGGGAAAAATAAAACAATCAGGTGAATCAGATAAAGTAACGTGGCTTAGTTTCACTCATACATTCGCACAGTTTGGTTCACACAGAACCTTAACTTAAAGCACAGACCCTGAACCTATCAGTTCTGGCTAACCAACAGACACCTGAACCTATCAGGTTGGTACTCTGACACACAGTAGTACCCTGTCTGACACACAGACTCCCACAACAGCTTCTTCTTCCCAGCTGCTGCTTCGTCACAACCCAGTGTCTCTCAGTCTCAGTGTGTGTGTGTTCACCACACAGGCATCACATATTTATACAGTACAGCCCCTCCTCCTGATGTCCCGCCTCCCACTCCCCATAGGATGGAACTTTCCCTCCAAACCCATGACAGACAGGTAACATCAGTGCTGTATGTAACAATCAGTAACTGGCCTAGACCTACGACAAAGAAAAAAATCAGATCCTTCTTAGGGTTGGTTGGATATTACAGGAAATTTATCCAAAACTTCAGTGAAATAGCAGCTCTTTTATCATAAAAGAAAAGCTCTTTTAACTCATAAAAGAAAAGCTGTTAAGATAAAGTGGATGAGTGAATGCAAGAAGGCCTTCGACAAATTAAAGACAGCACTGATGACCGGTCCTGTGATGAGAGCACCAGATTTCCAGTGAGAATTCATCGTATTCACATATGCATCCAACATCAGACTAGGAACGGTATTGAGCCAGGATGACGACAACGAAGAACTGCATCTGATGATGTACATGAGCAAGAAGTTGCAAGCAGGAGAACGACACTTGTCAACTAATGAATGTGAGTGTTTGGCAATTGTATGGGCATTGCAGAGACTCAAAACATACATATGGGGAAGATATTTTATTCTCTGCAAGGATAATTCCCCATTACTGTGGCTCTGGACTATTAGACTAATAATAACAAACTGATGAGATGGGCACTATTGCTACAATATTTTGACTTTGAGAACAAAAGCGTCAAAGAAACTCAAAATGTAGTAGCTGATGCCTTATCGAGAAGATCCGAAGATTAAACAAGAAAAAAAAGACTAAATTGAAATGTAAATGTAAAAAATGCAAACTGTTCAAAATTAAATGTTATAAAAGTGTAGTAAAATGAAAAATGATTTAAAATGTAAGTATATAGAAATAAATAGTAAGTAAAGTTGGTGAAATGTATGATGAAAACAAAAGTGTTATATAATGATAAAAGTAATTTAAATATAAAGTAAAAATATTAATATGATGGTAAATGTGTTATAAGAATAAGTATAGATAGATAGATAGATAGATAGATAGATAGATAGATAGATAGATAGATAGATAGATAGATAGATAGATAGATAGATAGATAAGAGAGATCAAATGGTAAAATGGAAATAGTAAGAAATTGCAATTGTGCATGAGGGTAACCCACTTTAAATGTTACCCCATGGCACAAACCTTTCCAAGGGGAGAGGTATGTGATGGACAGCTCTCAGAACAGTCCTGTCAGTCATGTCAGAGCTCTGATATGGGGGCCTACGACATGACAGGAGGGGCCGAACCAGGGAAATAAAAGGAGAAAAAAAGACATTTATTGAGAGTTTAGGCCGTTCGTGCCGTGGTTGTGTTAGAGAGGAGAGAAAGAGAAAGAGATAAGAATAGGACAAGTCTTGCAAAGTTTATGTGGTTAACTTTGGAAAGTTAAAAGTGCTAAGAAATAAATAAATAAATAGTTGAATATATAAATACCTTGATTAAAGTGAATCTACATAAGCAAACATAAATGTAATCAAAGCAATGTTTATTGAATGAATAATAAAAGCCCAAAGCCTTCACCACCACCTCTGCTGGCCAGGATTTCTGGGAGTTGAAGTCCAAGAACATCTGGAGGCCCAAGATTGGGGACCACTGCTTTAGATGATTTACCTACAAACCCATAAATAAACATTGTTATATTGGACAACACTGATCTAATAGTCATATTTGGTACAGAGTGGAACATACCCTCTGGTGGCAGCGAAAAAGGGTGAAAAGTACATGTCATGCCCGAAAGGGAACCTGGGAGTGTAGAAAAACAAACAGGGGAACTGGGGGAGTTTGATACTAGTGAATGTATAATTTTTCATCCACTCCACCATAGTCCCATGCCATAACCACTGGCATAAGCAAAAGGTGGAGGAGGGACGCCACTGCCGTCCAGCGGAACAACAACCAGGACCTCGCTTCTGATCTTTTTATTTGGCTTTTGCATTTCTACTTAATGTTCAATAAAATAGAAAAACCTTCTCCACCCCTCTTTCCCCTTAATTATAAATCAATTTTAAAAAGTGAGATTTAAAACTCAGTTTTAAGTAATTTTAATTTTGTTATTGCTTTTACTTTCCAAAATCTAAAATTAGTACATTTAATGTGATTATACCAATAAGATATTGTGTGCCCATTATGGAGTTAATCCAAGCATTAATCTCTTTTTTGAGGTCTTGTCCATGTTGCAGTTGAAAATTCATTATTTTAACGTTAGACCTTCTGAGGTTATCCTCATGTAGATCAACCTTTTAGTAATATCACTGATATTTTTGTCCAAGTTAGATATTTTTCTTGATCTGATTCAACTCTAATTCCAATTTTGCTTTTGACATCTTTGAGCTCTTGTGAAACCCCTGATATTTGGTCTTATTAATTCTCATTTCAATGGACTTGGCTCATCTCTCTTTTTGATCAAAGCCTTCAGACATTTTACAGGCCATATCTTTTACAGCCCTCGTAAACTCTTCCATTGTCTCTTGTTTATCTTTTTCAATTGTTACCCTCCTCAATCTTTCCAAACTGCGATCTGAGGGTACAGGTTTTTTTTCTCTTCCCCAGGTGGGGTTTTTGGCAGATTTATCCCTTCTCCTTGACATAAAAAGATCTAATTAAGAGTAATTATTGTTGTTATAAGCTTTTCATTAGGAGCAGAATAGTGCGAAAAATCCAGCAGCTTATCGGACCCAAAAGCAAAAGTAGTTTTCAGTTTTAAAACAACACAGTCCTTAGAGAGTTTAATTAAGTATACAAGTTCCTTAGCTTTCCCTTCAAAGATTTATGCAAAAAGAACCAGTTTTCTAGAAAAAGAAAAGAATTTTAATATCTTTTTACCGTGCCGGCGATACGGAGGTTCAGCTTTTAGCTGGTCATTCCCCCGAGCGGAAGTGACGTCCGCACTCACCAACTCCCGAAGTAAATGGTTCCACTGTTGTACTGCTCTAACAGTTAGGAGGTTTTTCCTAATATTCAACCAAAATCTGGCTTCCTTTAACTTGAGCCCATTTTTGTGTGCCCTGCACTCTGGGATGTTCGGGAACAGATCTTGCCCCTCCTCTGTATGACAGCCTTTCAAATATTTCAAAAGTGTTATCGTATCACTTCTCAGTCTTCTTTTCTCAAGGCTAAACATGGTCAGTTCTTTCAACCTTTCCTCATAGTGTTTGGTTTCCAGCCCTCTGATCATGCTTTCCACCCTCCTCTGAATTTGTTCCAATTTGTTAGCATACTTCTTGAACTATGGTGTCCAGAAATGATATTAGTTTTGAAATTGAGGAAGACTATTTAAATCTACCTCCATTCCTGATGGTCAGAAAGTCTGCTGCTTATGTTTCTCTTTTTTTTCCTTATATCGATTTTCACTTTTCCTTCTCTTGAATTTCAGTTGTCCAAACAGTATGGTCCTGTCTTCAGCCTCCAAATGGGACTCCAGAAGATGGTGGTCCTGACTGGGTATGAAACGGTAAAAGAGGCTCTGATCAACCAGGTTGATGCATTTGCGGAGAGGCCCTTCGTCCCAATCCTTGAAGAATTTTCAAATGGCTTTGGTGAAGTCCTTTCTCTTGACAATCCTTTCACTTCATAGTTATGCCCAAAAGCAGAAGGTTGACAAATGGTGGTAAACTATTGGTGGCTGAGGGTATCAGCTGCACTAAGAAATCATGGAACAGAAGGATAGGAGTTTTACTAGATGGAGGAGAAAAGGAATCCACAAGAAGGGAAGTGAGGGAAGCATTTCCACCATCAGGAGGACTGAGGGAGCTGGTGAAGTGAGAGGTGGGGTGATGATTGTAGGAGCCAGATCTGAAGTTGACTCTAAAGATGAGCAGGAGAGATCCAGCGGAAGCTATGCATTGTAGATAGAAGAACAACGTTCAATTTCACAGGGCATCATAAGGGAAATAATGGAGGTGATGCTGTTTAGTGGAATTAACAGACTGTTGAAGTGAGCTTTTGAGTGACAGATGGGACAAACTGTGGTCTCACACATTGCTTCCTTCACCCCAGCCCTCTGATTTTTTACAGTCCTCAAGTTGTCACCTTTTCCATTTGTGCTTCTCATTATAATTGCAGTGTGAGTGATATTCATTTGGGACTAACTAGAAACTGTGTCATTGACTGTTCTCCTCAAGGTATCATTGTTTCTCATGGTGAGAACTGGAAAGTGATGCGGCGGTTTGCCTTAACCACATTGCGAGACTATGGAATGGGCAAGAGATCCATAGAAGACAAAATTGCTGAGGAGTGCAAAGTCCTGATAAAGAAGTTTGAATCTTACCAAGGTGGGTGGGGTGATCTTTCCCTGCTGGAACTCTGGACTATGTACCTGCAATTGAACATAGCAGTATCACTTACTCCTGGAACAGAAATGCCTAGGTTTTTATTTGGAAATAATTTGTTTATGTCTCTGATGTGTTGATACACCTAAATAATTCCTGTGTTACAGTTCTTTTTAGTATTTAGTATTTCTTAGCTTCAAAACCTGAAAATACTGAGGAATGGAGTTTCAAATTCTAATGTGCATTCAATGTTCACATGAAAACACTCACATTAGTGTCCTCAAGTGAGAGGGACGTTTACTCGTGATGAAATTCCCATTGCATAATTTCATTTTATCTAAATATTGTGTTTTAATCTTTTTTGAATAGGAAAACCTTTTGAGACCACCACAATTATAAATGCAGCTGTTGCCAATATTATAGTGTCCATTCTACTTGGCAAGCGATTTGAATATGAAGATCCCACATTTCAACGACTGCTGCAGTTAGTCAATGAAAATGTCCGGCTTTTTGGGAGCCCCTCAGTCATGGTAATTCAGCTACCTTTTCTTCAACCATATTTACAATCAGACTAGGGTGGACCATCCAGTGTGGATGTCTCTCTTCAGGATTCACTGAAAAATGCAGAATTTGAAATCTAATTCGTTATGTTATGAAACACAGACCTTATTAGAAACTTATTGAAAAAACAGAACTCCTTGCCTGCCCAGTCGAGACACAGTAGTTGGGTAAAACTAGGGCCACAACTTGATTAACAATTTTTTTAAATTTTAAAAACATTTTTATTAATTTGATCAACTACAAACAAATATGCAATATAAGATAAAATAAAAAAAGAAAAAGAAATGAGAACAAAAAAGGAAAAAAACCCGAAAACCCCCCCCCCCCCCTTTGA